GGGGGCTCAAACCCTGGATCTTTCTCAGAGGCCTGTGCCTTTCCTACAGGGGTGAGGAGGGGGCTTCTACAGAGGGGGAGGGGGAGCCGCTCCTGGTGTCCCCGAGAGGCCAGGAAGTTAAAGGGTGATTTAGGAGGAAGAAGTCCCAGGAACCCAAGGGAGGAAACCCCCCCCCCCAGGGGGGAGCAAAGACTCAGGGCCTGGAGATGGGGCCAGGGAGGTGGACAAACCCCAGGCCTTTGGTTTCCCTCTCCGAGCCCCTGGGGCTGGGGTAGGAGGGACCCAGTGTGGCCCCCCACCTGCCCCCCCCCCCTCCCCTGTGTGGTTCCCACTGCTCCCCTCCCCTGGACGTCCATGGGCCATTGCCCACCCCCTAGAGCAGCCCGAGAGGAACCTCAGTCGCGGTCTTGTCTGACTAACCACTGTAACCCCCAGGTGTCAGGGACACATGGCAGAGCCCAGCACCGGACCTGGGTGGCCCGCGTCTGTGGTCACTGAACCGGGCCAAACGGGGATGCACTGGCAGGGACAGCGGCTGGGCTCAGGAGGGGGTTCTCCCTCCACCGGAGCTGAGGGCAGTGGGACAACGGGGGTGGGGGGCTGTTTCTTATGTGGCAGCGCCTTTGAGACGACCTGGCTTCCTGGGTCCAGGTCCCCTGAAGAACCCCTCCTCTCCACCCAGCAACATTGCCCTATGCAGCCCGGAGCGAGCAAACATCGAGTGCAGCAGGAGATTGCGAGGTTAGACAAGCAGGAGGACTCCCACGGGGGAGGGGAAAGCTTGCTTAGTGAGTGCTGCCGCTCAGTAGAAGGGGCGGCCTTGGATTATGGTGAGGGGTCTGGAGCGGCAAATAAGGAGAAGATCTAGGCCAAAGGGGATGAGGGGTGGGGAGAGTGGAGGGAGTCAGGGGCCTTTTCCGGAGGGCCATGGTGAGGGGGCTATGTGTGGCAGGAGTGGGACCAAGAGACACTGAGAAGGATCTGCTGCCAGAACCTGTGGGTGACTGAATGTGGGGAGGGAGAGGGACGTCAGGCAGCAGGGTGGGGTCCCTTGCTCAGGTGGGAGCTGAGTGGGAGGAGCTGGGGTTGGAAGATGGCTGGGGAGGGGGCCCAGGCTGAGGCGCTGGGGGTGGTCCGGCCGGGTGGGATACCTGAGGACTCGCCGGCCTCCCCCACAGAACAGAAATTTCTCTGAGGAGGCAGAGGCAGCACAGCCTGAGAGGTGGGAGGAGACAGGGGTGGGGGGTCAGGAGGGAGAGGGTGCTGGGCAGTGAGGTGAGATCGGACCCACAGGGGCCCCTGACTCCTGCCTGGAGCCCTGGGCCCTGGGGAGACTGGGTGGGTCAGACCCCTCCTCCAGAATCCTCCTCGAGGAGGAGCCGCCTGGGAGGGCCTGGGTTGGGGGAGGAGGCGGGAGAGGAGGGAGGGAGGGAGGCAGGGAGGGCCGGGCCTCTGTCCACAGCATTAGTGCTGGTTGGAGGGAGAGGGGGGTACGAGCCAGCCAGGCCGCCGGTTCCCATAGCTCCGGAGCAGAGCGTGCTGCCATGGCGCTGGCCAGGCCACGGACCCGGGACCCCAGGCTCCCGGCCCCTTTCTTGCTGTTGATGCTGCTCTGGGCCCCTGCCCTTGCCCTCCTGGCTGGTGAGTTGGGGCACAAGCCTTGGGGGGGACCTGAGCAGGCTGTGTGTCCCAAAGCAGACACCCCAGGCCCTGGGGCTGTCCCTGCGGGTACCAGCCCAACTCTGGGGCTGGGGTACAGGCCTGAGTTGTGGCGTGCGGAGAAGTGCAATGCTATGGGGTGCAGGCCTGAGTTTTGGGGTGCACAGGAGTGCGATGCTGTGTGGTGCAGGCCTGAGTTGTGGGGTGCGGAGGAGTGTGTTGCTGTGGGCCACTGGAACTTGTGTAGAGGCAAATGTGTCCTGGGACTTGGGGCTGCTGTGTGTTGGGGGGCTTTGTGGGCCAGCTGTGATCTGGGTAATGGGGTGGGCTGTGTGTCTTAGGAGGGGTGTTGGGGTGGGAGTGCTGGGTTGTGAGGCCTGTGCTGGGTTGTGGGGTGCAGGTGGGGGGGTGTTAAAGTTGTGAGGGAGGATGAACTGTGCTGGGCGGGCCTGGGTTGTGTCTGAGGCCTTCTCAGTATGGTGGGCTGTCCTAGTGCGCGTTGTGGGGTGCGTGGTCCAGGGGGTT